ACTCTCGACTAATTATCCAGAACGTGAAGATAATACAGAAAAAGATGGGAACGACTAAAAACACGATGCTAGAAAAATTATAAAATTAGCAATATTGATTATGAAAATAACTGAACTCTGAATTTTATTGATTTATTTATACCTTGTTGGATAGAGCCATTTTTCATCTTTTCCGTGTCTAGCTACAAATGTTATATCCAATCCAAAGTCTACCAATATTAATGGACACAAGACAAAGACCAAGAGATTTCGTCCCTGCCAAGAAAGGTGATGAGAAACATTTTAAGGATGTTGTGAATGATCATGACGAATTCACTTACTTTCTTGTGTCTGAGATGTCCCCAACAACACAAAAGGAATAAGAATAATAGCCCGAAGAGAGCAAAAAGCGCCCATTTGTATCTATTCCATAGACCATCTAAAAAAAACAAAAAAAAACAAAGGTTAGATTAATATTGCTAAATTATTGCAAATCTACAAACTTACTTAATCTCCATGCTCCATTATCCGAGTCAAGGTATTTTGTGGTATCTCCCGTGGAAATCAATGACATATCTTTGTATTTGATTACATTATCCAAATATTGAGAGAGAGTAATCGCATCCGTATCTGCGGTGGTACCTGCCTCACTGATATCAACTCTCATGAAAATTTGATCAGATGGGGTATCATGTTTATACTGGAATTTGGTAGGAATGTAAAGACGATCGGTGCTACATCCAATGGCTCTAGCGATCTGATCCCGCAATTTTGTGACAAACACATCCCGAGAAATAGACTTTCCTACATACAACGTAGTCCCCTCGGAGGTAAGCAAGATGATGACCGAGGCAGGTCCAGTACCATTATTAACAGCACCACCTGATTGCATTCAAAAATTAGTTAATAATGCCACTGTGTTGAAAGTTAGTATCATCAATGATAATTACCTGTGGTGAAATTCCATTTGTCATGAATTCCAGGTGCATCTTGTTTATTATCAGTATCGGTTATAAAACCATCGTCTACATTTACGGTATATTTCTTATTTGGACTAGAAATCGCACCAGGAATTGCCTTGAAGGTGACTGTATCATGATTAAAAGTACAATTGTTTGCCGGCATCCTAAAGACTGGGTGGGTTCCATTATCATCGTGCATGAATATGGTCACATATCCACTGGATGGACCACAGGGGAAAGAGTATTTAATTACGAACTCTTTAGAATCGTGGGGAACTGGGATCGTAGAATTCACATCCGGACTCGTGTAAATAACTGTGGGGGTGCCATATTTTCCCATTTTATCTATGTCGAGAAAAATATTTTTTTTTTTAGAAAAAATAAAAAAATAAATAAAAATAAATAAAAAAAAAAATACGAATGATTCGAATGTCTGATAATCGTGAGGTTTTTTAAAGAAAAAAAGTATTTTACCTTCGTTGTAATTACTTAGAGTATCACTTGTTATGACAGTCCAACTGGAGCCATTATGATTAACGAATGCCCAAACTACGTTGCGTTGAGACACCCCTGTGATGGGGAGGTAAGTATAATTTGTAGGGAGTCCCCATCTTGTTACATTGTTGCCTTCATTGGTGACTGCAAATCCATTGATAGTGGTGTTACTTTTGGTCAATATAATAAACCCTCCATAACGCAATGCTAAAGCACTAAACGGTTTTTGATCATTAGGAACGTCGTTTATGGTGAAAGTGTGTGTTCCGTTGATAGACCCGGTATTATAAAAATCTATGTCTATAAATCTTGGTTTTGTTTCTCCTCTTTTTTCAACATAAATTACACAACTATATCCCAAATATTGACGGGCGATGGTGCATTTAAATACTTTGAATACAATCACATCTTTATCATTCAGTGTATATATTTCATAAGGTCCATTAACATTCTGACCATAAATCCAATATATCGATACTTTCCAAATAGTAGTATTGACCTCATGTGTGACCGTGACTACACCATATTTTCTATTTTCGACTGAAAATATTTTCGGAAAATCGATGTAGGATGTGATGTTCAAGTTGCTAATCACCCCGCTTGACGTTTGTGTCACATTGTTACCATTATCGTCACTGATAGTGGTAGTAAAAAAATTAGTTAGTATATATAAGAGAGAAAATAAAAGAAACTATCCATGTACGAAGCTTACGGCGTAGAATATATTGTCCAATCTAATTCTAGGGTCTTTTCTTTGTAGCACACTCGCAGGAATTCTAGTTCGTCGATGTTCTTAATAATTTGACTATATGTACATTCTTCTCCAAAATCGATTGTGTAGTTTTCGACATCACCGTTCCAAGTTATTATCAAACCTTTAATCTTATGGCTAGCAGGGATATCCGAGAAATACGTTACAAGAATACATTTATTCTTTATGGCATATATGTTAATTGCAGAAATCTCTCCGGAATTCTCATCTGTTGGGATTACTATTCCTTTAGTGGGGATCGTAGTTGGAGTTGTATGTGTAGACGATAATGCAGTGGATGTTGCTGTTCCGGTTCTGGTCCCACTGATACCCGTCTCAGTTCCAGTTATAGCTTCACTAGTACCAGTCTCCCTAGGACCTGTTCCTGTTTCCGTCCCCCTAGGACCTGTTCCTGTCACTGCTCCTGTGATAGTCTCGCTAGGACCTGTTCCTGTCACTGCTCCTGTACCCGTTTCACCGGGACTCGTTCCTGATACTGATCCTATTACTGTGCCCGTTTCGCTGGGACCTATTCCCGTGCCTGTTTCACCGGGACTCGTTCCTGATACTGGTCCTATTACTGTGCCCGTTTCGCTGGGACCTATTCCCGTGCCTGTTTCACCAGGACCTGTTCCTGATACTGATCCTATTCCCGTGCCTGTCTCGCTCGGACCAATTCCTGTACCCGTCGCAGCGGGACCCGTTCCTGATGCTGATATTATTCCTGTGCCTGTCTCGCTTGGACCGATTCCTGTACCCGTCTCACCGGGACCCGTTACTGATACCGATCTTAATCCCGTGCCTGTCTCACTGGGTCCTCCTATTCCTGATCTTATACCTGTACCCGTCTCACCGGGGCCCGTTACTGATACTGATCTTATTCCTGTGCCTGTCTCACTGGGTCCTCCTATTCCTGAACTTATACCTGTACCCGTCTCACCGGGGCCCGTTACTGATTCTGATCTTATTCCTGTGCCTGTCTCACTGGGTCCTCCTATTCCTGATCTTATTCCCGTGCCCGTTTCTCCGGGACCCGTTCTTGTTACTGATCTTATTCCCGTGCCTGTCTCACTGGGTCCTCCTATTCCTGATCTTATTCCCGTGCCCGTTTCTCCGGGACCTATTCCTGTACCCGTCTCACCGGGACCTATTCCTGTACCCGTCTCACCGGGACCTATTCCTGTACCCGTCTCACCAGGACCTATTCCGGTCCCTGTTCTTGTTACACCACGACCTGTTCCGGTACCTGTGCCTGTCGCACCATGACTTCCTGTCTCGCCGGGACCTGTTCCCGTTCCTTTCGTTTTATGTGGCACGTGTTCGTGATTACAACCACTGCCTTTTGTTGTATGTGGCTTGTGTGTAACGTTGCCACAATGAGGATGGTGGTGGTGATGATGCCCCTCCGAACTGTGGTGTTTATGCGAATGGTGATCACATTCTTCACTATATTGAGATGAACTGGTCGTAATAGCACATTCTGCACTGCTTTGAGACGAACTGGCCGTATCGCACTCTTCACTATATTCCGATGAACTGGTCGTAGTGCATTCTTCACTATCTTGAATTGAACTAGTCGTAGCGCATTCTTCACTATATTGAACTGAACTGGTCGTAGCGCATTCTTCACTATATTGAGTTGAACTGGTTGTAGTGCATTCTTCACTATACTGAGTTGAACTGGTTGTAGTGCATTCTTCGCTATGTGAGGTAGGAGTTGGAAGTGATTCAACCTCAGAACATGTTGACTTAACATAATGTCTTCTGTAAAGGTTTTGTTCAATCGATTCTCGCAGGCCTCTTTTCTGAAATGTGGAACTATTATAGTAGCAGAAGTTCTCTGGAGGAATGTTAGACTGAGAATCGTCGATGTCTATTTTCTTCCAAGTCCCATCAGGATAAATAAGTCGAAGGTACAGTATGGTTGTGTTACATTGTTCTCCTCTAAATAGTAGTAATATGGTGCCGTCATTATAGTTTGTTCCTTGAACTATGTGTAATGGAACTCCCTCATCTACTGTAGTTGCCAACGACACCTGTAAACAAACACACAACACTATTAGCAACGAGATTGATGCGCGCCCGATATAATATAGCTCTTTCCAATTTTTTCGTAACATTTTGGTAGAGCTCCGAGACGTGAACTAAAGGACGTTCACCGCTAAAGGGAAAAGAGAACAAGAAAGGATCGTTCTCTAAATTTGCGAAAGGAAAAAAACTCTGTCTTAATATAGGCATATTTGAGATGTACAAAAACGGATTTTTAAATGAAGCAATCATGGTTGCAACAAGTGAGATGGCGGTCGGGTAACCTGTAACAACATTTTTTTGCTAAAAACATAAATTTCTACCTAAATTACATGGCAAAATTACCTTGTTGAGCTTAGCGCCGCATAAATAATAAATACGATTAATTGAAAAAATAAACATTGTCACTTTCATTGATGAATTTTCTTCACGAAGGACATTACCCGAAAAATCCTTGGGTTTAATTCATCTTTTTTCGGGTTTGCATATATGGAAAAGACCGTAAACATTGGAATTAAGTCTTAAGTTGTAATCGAATTTCCATTAATTTTTACCATTCTTATAAACAAAGAAAAGACAAGATTGGCATGACACCTCATGCACTATGACGGCGAAAGAGACGCAAAATCTAAAATGATCGACAACAATTATTTATAGATATAAAGGTAAAAAATAAAAATAAAGGTTCGAGGAATTGTCGAGAGCTAACACAACGATTCACTCCAAGCCGCTAAGCTTAGAGAAATAAACATGGAATATGAAAATTCTTTCCTTGGTGTCGATGTATCAAAGACAAACAATTATTAACAACACTTGTACAAAGACGGTTTCTGTGAAATTAGGTACGAAGGGGTAGATTTTGACTTATGCAAACCCCCCATGTACACGGCAGCGGACAAATTAGATTGAAAATCCTTCGGAAACTCATTGAATAATGCACTTTCACACAATGCGAATATAAACAAGAGTTTTTCTCTCGCGCCGATTGCTAACTGCTCGTAGATCCACGAATCATGAGACAAGATGTTTTATTACGTATGCTACCTCTTCAAGAAGAGCTGAACGGATGAATAAAAAAGTTTTCTCTATTATACTGAATTCTATTTTTATCTGTGCGAACTCCTCTATGCCGTGTTTAAGATTTGGTGAAACATGAGATCCCATACCGAAAAGGAAATTATTATAAATGCCTAAATATGGGAAGTGAAAAAAATGGTGCATACATTGTTCAAAGAATAGATTTCACC